TGGAAAGCTCAGATGAATATAGGCATGTGAGCACAATACAATGCACACAAATGCATGCATTTAAATCCTCGAGTCTAAACATTTTTTTTAGTTTTTCTCACAAAACACTAAATTTTAACAATATTCCACAGAAGAGAACTCTGTATATTTCAACTGGTAAAAAGCATTTTTTATAAGAAGGGAAAATATCCAAACTTCTAGATTTGACACATGTCTTCATATATAGTAATTAAATCTATAAATCATTTTGGACGCAACTACCTGTCAGATAAGAAAACTAAAGATATTACTGTCTCTTATTTATGTATGGATAGATTTATTTTTTCTTCTTAGAGAAGTATTTATTAGGGTCTAGAAGTCTCATTCCTTTATTATTTCATGTTAACAAATTTACAAATGAATTTTTAAAAAAATCAACCTGCGATATTCAATATGTCTTAATGGCATGTAAAAAAACCAACTTATATTATTAGCTATAATCAATGCATTTCTTTTTTAATGCTCGTTTAAAGAGAGAGGACAAAGGCCATATTTCAAAAGAAATATTATAAAACAATAACTTATGGCATGATACAAAAATTCAAGATGAGCTTAGTGGTAAGGACTTATTAACTAATTACATCAAAAGGATGTGATTGACAGTATATATGGAATTACTGCTTGTACAAGTTGTGTGAGACAAACACCCTTCATTAATGGGAGCACCAACTTCTCCACATGAGAAGTTTCATCAGTCTTACGTAAAGACATGTTCTTTATCATAGCACCTAAGAAATAAATAAAGGAAAAATACTTAGTTTCTTATGTGTTCCAGGACAAAATAGCTAATGACATAGATACAGATCACCACAGCCAAAGCGAATTTAAAGGAAGAGGCACCAACACCAAGTGAAGTAGGATGATGACCAGAAACTAGAGATGAGATTACTTGAAAAAGAAGAGAGTGCTCAACAATATCAAAAGCTGCTGGAAAGTCGTGTAAGAGAAGGACTGAAAAATGTCCACTAGACTTAGTGACACAATGTCATAGGTATAACATCAGTGAGAGCGGTTTGTGCTCTCTCTCTCTCTGACCAACTGTGGGGTCTGAAGGTAGCTTAGAGTGGGTTGAGAAGAGAATAGTTCAATACAGAAAAACTGCCAAAGTGTTAGAAAGTGTACTTATGAAATATTAATAATATCTTAAATGTTTGAAGAGAAAATTAAAAATAATTAACATTATTAAAAGCAGTAATAAAGCATCTGAGAAACAAGTCCAGATAAGAGGTGAAAGCTCTGAAATTTTCAACAACCCATCTTACTGCTATTGGGATCTTTTCATTTCAGGGCTAAATTATGTTTTCTCATGTTACTGAAATTGAAGGGAATCCTTTATACTGAAGTTTTCATTTCACAGATGAAGACCCTTGAACAACTATAGGATAGCAACTATTTTGGGTACAAGTGCCTGCTAGTGGTACTGCTAGGAAATCAAACATCTTTTCCCTCTGAAGTAGAGATACTGATCACTTTTCTACCCAAATCCCTTTCATAGGAAACATGCCTACCCAAAGTCCAAAATAGACTTTTCTGCAGTGACTTTACCCCCAGTCATATCAAATCATACTGCAGTGGACATGTGATCCATATTTGGCCAAATTCTTTCTCTAAATTGTGGCAGAGAAATGAGATCTTAGAGAATGAGGCTGCTATTTGGCTATATGGTCACGTAGACTCAAAGGCTGATGTGGCCTTTTTTTTTTTTTTCAAGCCATTAAGAGATCAGACAACGTAGAAAGCACAGGGAGAGATGTCTCATCAGACATACAAAAAGAGTACAATGGAATCTCATCATATAGTATTTTTCCTTTCTCTTTCATTTTGCCAAGTGAGTAGTTAATGAAAGATAGAAAACATTAATTATTCACATTACAAAATGAAAGAGAAAGAAAAAATACTATTGAAACAGTGAGCATAAAAGTAGGGAGAAATGAATCAGTGGATCTCAGTTCCCATGTGCCTCTTGCAGTATCTTGTTCAATGAATGGAAGTTTGAGGATACAGTATATATTTTAATTTCATCCTGGCCTCAAATTCAAGCTAGCTGTTTTATATAGTGGTCAACCAGAAACAAACCAAGTACCCAACATTTTATTGTACTTTATGAGAAGAAATTAAAGTCTTCCAAAAGCAATTTTGACTATGTAACCTGTATCTAGTTTATTATTTTAAGAACCTGACCTCCACTTAAGATGCAGCTCCTCTGTAAATGGCTGACAACTTTCTAACTCCTAACTGGTCAAATTGAAGTTCCTGTAATTATACTCCAAGAAGTTTCCTAGGAACCTTTGAATGCCTCTTCCTTTTCCTTTGAGTTTATTTCAGTAGGCTCTGTTCCTTATACTCAGATGTTCTCTAAGAGATAACTCCTAATAATCTCTGTTGAGGTCTTTTTATGGCCAATAGTATAGAATAATGAAAGGCAGTAAAGCACTGTGGTTAAGAGTTTTAGAATCACACCAGATCTCTACTGTAATCATGGTTCCTTCACTTAATTAGTGCTGTGACTTTGGAGACATCATTTAACCTCTATGAAACTATTTTCCATACCTGTAAAATAGAGATAATGCTACCTATACCTTGTAACACAAATTTGATGATTACATGAGATCATGTATATTAAGTACTTAGTACTATGCTTTGGTATAGACTGTTATAATTACTAATAGTAATTATTAGATGGAATTCCTGAACTCAATCTTACAGCTTTTTCCTATGGCCCCATCAATAACTTGCATATCCATGATATTTTTGTAAAATTTTATAAATGTTATGCAAGTGAATGATTTATTAAAAAGTAAGATTTGTATGAATCACAGACTGCTTTTCTATGTTTCTAGATTCACAAAGTTAATTTACTATTCCTAGATCAGTTTTGGGGCCAAATAAGAATATACCCAATGGTATTTATATGAACCTGAAAAGTGTTATGCGTTCTTCCTACCTCCTAAATTTCATTTTCAATACTCAGTAAGTCTTTTAAATACTGAGCAAGTATAATTTAAGAAAAAAGAGCTATAAAGGTTATACTCATGTTTATGAAAATAACTCAAGAGCAAATGTTGACATTATATCTGTTAAATGCTGTTTCCAGACTTTTCATCTTCCAGAAATGAGTTTGATGTATACTATCAAATAAAATCCTGTTAGTTAATAGTAGTTTATGAATTATATAAAGAGTATTATTATAAAGGCATTTCTATTTTTGAGAACTAAGGCCCTTAAATCCTTTAGAAAATTTACATTGGTCATAAGAATGAATTTTATTAACTGCATCTTAAAATAACCTTCAAATTTCATTTTAGACCATATTCTTAAAGCCTGTTCTTACCTTGCTTTTTGTTAAAACTTGAATTTAAAACTTTTGTATCTGCCTTTTCATAAAAGTGTATTAGGGAAATGGCCACCTGATCAACTGGGAGTAAATAGGTATTTTACATTTGGATAGCATTTAACAGCTTTCAAAATACTCTTAAAGGTATCTATTTCACTTAAATTTCACATCATGTGAATCAACACAGCAACTTTTATTTCTATAAAAATAAAATTCAGTCAGTAAAGTAACCACATATGAAAATTAGAACCTAAATTTTCTAACTTCTAGTTTAAAGCCCTTTCTACTTCATCACATTGCCTGTTACCTGGATCATTTACCATACTGTGTATAATTGGGATCTGAATAACAGTAATTGTCAAATGGAAGGAAAAGAACCTTAAAATGGGGTACAATAGCTAAAACAGGAAAATTTGAAATTATATTTTGTACTTAAGAAGAGGTTTTAGTATACCAGTACTTAATTTTTAGAGAATTTAATCAAAGAATGCTTGAGAAGTTATAAGGAAATAGACACACAGGCACTTTATTTGCAAATATCTGTGGGTGTGTGCGCAGCACTTTTTTCTTCTCTTAAACTTGAGTCACAGTAGCAAATTATAGCTTCTCTTAGAGAGGAAGAATTCTGCTTGCAATTATGCCTTCGGGACATGGTTTCACAATCCTTATCATATTTTATAAATAAATAGGGTTATTAAAAAAAGGATTCTTTTTAGATAGAAATAACAATTTCTAAGAAAAACTCAGGTTTTCCAGAAACAAACAGAAAGTATGACACATTGCTAAATATCTGTCTTTACTCATTCATAGAATTTGTAAGACCTCTTATTTTGGCAAGAGGAAAGAAAAGCTTTAAAAAGAGTAATGATCCCCTTTGAAATAAAGGAAAGGTGAATAATATGAAGGGTGGGTATGAGAATAAAGGTGCTGTATTGGTGAGCTCAGGCATGGGTTTGAATGAACAGCATTTTCCTAGGTCTACTTTACTAGAAAGGAAAGTAAAAGCATCCTGGTCAGAACAGTTGAAGTCACAGACATCTAGAAATTCTCCCCAAAGAGTTAATTATACACATTTTTCCTTTAAAACTTTTTCCCCATCTAGCCCTAACCATTGTGGCTCAGTTGGTTGGATATTAGTCCACAAACCAAAGGGTCACCAGTTCAATACCAATCAGGGCATGTGTCTCTAGTCCCATGCAAGAGGGCACACAATAAATGGGCAACCAATAAAGGTTTCTCTCTCACATCAATGTTTTGCTCCCTCTCTCTCCCTCCCTCCCCTTCTCTCTAAAAATAAATAAATAAAATCTTTAAAAAATAAATAAAACTCCCCCCATCTAAATAAACTTTAATAATTTGCTCCTGTGACTGATACAAAAGAACAAAGGGAAAAAAACCTCCCAATATAACTTCCCCATACACATACAAGCAAGTATGTTATTCTTGAATTCATGTGGCACGACATTTCCTTCTAGCTACTAATTAACCAAAATTCTAAAATATATGGTGCCAGAATTTAAAATAAGGTATAATAAGTTCTAAGTATATGAACTAGTATAATCCATTTTCACTCATTTTCCGTGTGACAATCTCCTACATCACTTATATCACAAGTCTTAATATTTACCTGAACCTCTGAATTGGAGTCAACAGGCTGTAGTGAAAACCAAGTTTCTTTACCACTGTGGTTACACAAGTCTTCTTTTTTGATGGCTACTTTTCCTGTAGGAAATAAGTACAAGAATATGAGGAAACATTTCATATAATCCTTAGTGCTATTATATTATAATACTTTGTAGGAAACATTTTAAAACAACATACCTGTTGACATTAAAAATTCACTTTTACAAAGTATTTTTCTATATTCTAAAGAAGAAAATGTGCTTTTTTTCCCCTTGTCCCTTGCCAGGCCCTCCTCTATGTGATTTTATAGCAGGGGGTTTGACAAAAATTCAGTGCAACTGCATTTTTTAGTAGTTAATTCAGATTCAGTTTTTACCCCAAGTACAATCAGTCTAAAAAGTACTATCAATGTATTTATACAATATAGTGCAAAGTAATCCTTCCAATTCTTTAATGTTATGAATAAACTGTTTTATATCTGCATTTAGTAAGAGTTTATAAGCCCCAGTTAAGAGAAAAATAAAAACATTATACATCACTAACAATATTGAAAATTGACTTGAAAATTATGGGCGATTAAAGTAATAATTTTATTCAAAGTTTGCTTTTATCAAAATATTGCAAACACTACTTATGCTGCTTCAGTGCACATACACACACAAAATCAAGGCAGCTCCTGAAAGAACTTCTACCTCTGAGAAAGATATAATACAATGAATAAAGTAGTATGAAGAGGAAGAAACAAAAATGTTCTTATTATAATGAAGTATTTGCCATGTTGGTGCAAAGTATTTCCTTCCTCAATTCAAGTTTTAAGAAGTAGACATAGTTTTGCATATGACTGACAATTTATTTGAAGATTCTACACAAAAACTTCAACAAAGGATATACACTAACAGTCAAAAAGTTTCCTTTCTCCTACCAAATAAGAATTTTCATTTTAAGTGCCCTAATTATACTTAAAGGGTATCTTTCACTTATGACCTATCCTGGTTTTTTAGTTCAACATTTGAAAACTTTTAGAAAACAGTATGTCAGTTTTTGTGTATCAAGTGAAAAGGAAAAGCAGGACAAGAAAACAGACAAAGGACTATCTTTGAAATTTTATTCTGGAATTAGATTATGGTGATGGTTACACAACTCTGAGAAAATACTAAAAACCACTGTATGGTACACTTTATTTATTTTTAAATTTTTATTTATTAATTTGAGTGTGTGAGAGAGAGAGAAGCATCAATTTGTTATTCTACTTATATATGCATTCATTTGGTTGATTCTTATATGTGCTCTAACCAGGGATTGAACCTGCAATCTTAGTGAATCAGGATGATGCTCTAACCAACTGAGCTACCTGGTGGGGGCCTTGTATGGTACACTTTAAAAGGGTGAGTTTTATGGTATGTGAGTTACACCTCAATAAAGCTATTACTTAAAGTGTTTAAACAAATTAAATTTTTAAAAAAGATTTTATTTATTTATTTTTAGAGAGAGGGGAAGGGAGGGAGAAAGAGAGTGAGAGAAACATCACTGTGTGATTGCCTCTCATGCACCCGCTACTGGGGACTTAGCCCGCAACCCAGGCATGTGTCCTGATTGGGAATTGAATTGGTCACCCTTTGGTTTGCAGTCTGGTATTCAATCCACTGAGTTACACCAGCCAGGGCTATTTATTTATTTTTAGAGAGAGGAGAGGGAGAGAAACATCCATCAGTTGCTTCTCACATGCACCCTGACCCGGGGACCAAACTTGCAACCTAGGCACATGCCCTGACAGGGAATCAAACCTATGACACATCACTTCACAAGATGATGCCCAACCAACTGACTCACACTGGTCAGGGCCATATTAAAATTTTTTTTTAAAGATTTTATTTTTAGAGAGAGGAGAAGGGAAAGCAAAAGAAAGGGAGAGAAACATCAATGTGCAAGAGAAACATTAACTGGTTGCCTCTCACACACCTCCAAACTGGGGACCTGGCCCACAACTCAGGCATGTGCTCTGACCAGGAATTGAACTGGCAACCTTTCAGTTCACGGGCTAGCACTCAGTCCACTGAGCCACACGCCAGCCAGGGCCATACTAAAATTTTTGATAAGCTTGTCTTTCCAGTCATGACTGAAACTCAAACTATAAAGACTACCTATATATGTATATGGTTTTAAGGAAAGTATTAATATACAGCTACTTTTATTTTCATTAGAGTGGCAGCCCAAAAGAGAACTACTGAAATAACCCAAAAGAGAACTACTGAAAATTTATCAGCTATATTTATTAACATCTGTAAAATTGTTAAATTAAGAAATTAGGCCTCATGACAAGCATGAATCTTTCAAAATTTCTTATAAATATATTGGATGACATCTAATGTGAAGGTCAAAATCTTCATGTAAATATATAGCATTTATAATTCATTCAGATATAATAGGAAATGACATTAGGAAAATAATATATTTCAGCCTTTGGGGGACATTGAATTTAAGATACAAAATAATGAAAAGAAAAGAGAAATTCTTCCATTACTGAATATACAGATTATGAGCAAGTACAGAATTCAAGCATTAACTGGAACACCCAAATATTCTTTGTGTTGCTAAAGGAGTTTAGGTTAAGAACAATATCATACAAATCTCTTGATGTTTACCTATAGATTTTATCAAATTCCTGGCAAATCAATATAATACTAATTGAAAGAATGGCTTAGGATTCAGAAATATGACAAAGGATTCAATATTGTTCATCACAAGTAACTCAAATTATCACAATTCTATAAAGTGGTTCCACTTACTATTGACTTCACAAGAGATATAAACGATAAGGCAATGTACAGCAGCTTCATACATATGTATGCACATACACACAGACACAGACCTATGCCTCCTATAGCTGAAGTTCTTATATTTTGAGAACCACTTATCTTCTTCTTTAAAAATCTTAATACTATCTATGAATCTTTTATGTCCTCTCCCCAGAAGAACTGCATAGATATTATCTAGTATATAATTTTAAGAGGGTTTACCCATCATCCAGAAACTCACTGGTAAGCCCTGGTTAAGATTCCTATTCTACAATTTCCAGGACTTTTGGTTTCATACATAATTTATGAACATGTGTGTAGATGTACCTTTGTGTGTACATAAAATATATACAAACATCACTAAAGCAAGCACCTGACTTAAAAATAGCATTTTTAAAGTTTATTTAGAAATTTACTGGTTTGATTCACTTACTCATTCAACAAATAATCACAGTGGCACTGTTTTTTTAAATGGGATTTGATTTCCAGACTCCCCTAACCAAAGTTTATTTAACCAATAATGCTTGGAAAAACTACAGTAGGAATCTATCTGTTCTATTTATGACTCACAACTCCACATCCCTGGAAATACATCTTTTGTTACAGTTGCCTTTCCAAAAGAGAATCCTCTTTTAAGTTTACAGGTTAGAAAACAAAATCCCAGAAGGATGTGCCCTCTTCTTCTTACTTCATATCTTATGAATCCATGGTACTCATTGTCATGAAAGAGTTGAATGGTTCTTCTCTTCTGAGAGAGAAACCCTTCTCTGACCAGCTGCATAAATAAGCCATTCATAAATTGAGAAAAACTTGCAATTTTACTGCTAGCCCTTATTCTTATCGAAGTCCTTTTTAAGATGTTAGTTTCTGAAATGTAAAGGTTTAGTTGCATGAGATTAGTCAGCTGGAAGAAGCAGGGAAGAGTACATGAGTGATCCCAAGAAGTCAGAGAAACTGTTACATAGGAATGACAGAGGAAAATAAAGAAAATATTTGAAGTAATTAGGTTACTAGGATACCTGCAACATGTTCATCAGTCCTAGGGAATCAAACAAAGAGGAAAGGAAGGGGGGAGGGATGAAAAGAAAGAGAATGAATGAGAGAGAGAGGTGGGAGGTTAAAGGGCAAGGGGATATAGAAGAGGGAAAGGAGAGGGACAGATATGAGAAGGACAAGTTTCTGAAATACAACCACACAATGCCAAAAAACCTCTCATCATTCTTACTTGTTATTTTGAGTACCCCTAGTTAGATGGCAGGTATTGGTTGTGAAAGGCAGGCAGCCTAATACAGTGGTAAGAGTGCTGAACTGAAAAAAAAAAAAGCCAGCACTTACTGAACATGCACCAGATAGTAGACATTCTTACATATTTTCTGTTAAATCTTTGTAAAAATCTTGGGTATAGAGAGTATAATCACCATCTTACAGATGAGGAAAGCTTAACAATATTTAGAAACCTGCCCACTAACCAGTGCTAAGCCAGATTTCAAAACCAAGGCACCCTTGTCCATGTTCCTTCCAACACAGACATTCATTCAGTAGCCTAGTGTCAATTCTGTTACTAGTTAGCTATGTGATCTTGGGCTATTTATTTAAACACTACCTCATTTACCCCCTCTGTATTAGAAACAACTTTTAGCTCTAATGATGTTAAAAACCTGTTCTGTGCTTCTAGTGGTCCCAAAGATTGTTTTAGCTTACTGTTTACTGCTTTAAACAAAGTTAATTCATTATTTTACTAGTCATGAAATCACCAACCTCAAAAAAAAAAAATCACCCAGAACAAACTACCCAACAAATCATTTATAGGTGATAATTTCATTTCCTCACCGTCCTAACAAACTCATAGACAGAAAAAGCTTAGACCAAACATACAAGGTCTGTCTGGGAAAAGTCCAGCCATTGTTAACATGATGATAACAGTTTGCAGGACCTCCATGTAACCTGGCAGCCAAGGAGAATAGATTGAAATGCACATACATGACTTCACTGTACTAGTCAGTGGAGGTGATAGATGCTGTTGAGTGAGCATGTGTACTGTGTGGCTGTTGCTTTCAAAATGACTGAGCAAATAAAGCAATGAATCTGTATCCAATTTTATGTTAAATTTAAACATTCTTCTGCAGAAACTATTCGAATGATTCAAAAGGCCACAGCTGTGGGCAACTGGTGATTGGCAGCTTCATCACAACAACACACCAACTCATGCCTCACTTCTCCGTGCAGAGTCTTTTGGTGAAACATCTAATCACCTAGGTGACTCAGCCCCCCTACAGCCTAGATTTGGTGTCCTGTGACTTCTGG